CAGAGATAACTGAAGTTCAAGTGTTTGGTGCATTTGCTGCCAGCCTTTTCTTGAATGTATGAATATTAAAACTATTTCCTAGTTGAGATCATACTGCATATATGGTACTGTATCTTACTTTTTCTCTTTTTAACGTCGTGAGCATTTTTCCCCATGGCATTAAAACTGTCTTTGAGAAATGGAATACAAAGTTTTGGGCTGTCAGCGTAACTGAAAACTGTTTTCCTGGTGTGACACATGTATCTTTGTAATTGGTTTTATTTAGTGTGCTTTACTTCAATAAAAATTCAGTATTACAATTTACAGATCGGGGTGGGGAGTGCTTATCTACTTAAACTTGCCAGAATCTTCCGGAGAATTTCTTGTATTTTCAGTGATCGGACTCCTCCTCCCTCAGTACATTTGAACACACACTTCCACACCAGTGCTTGCTCCTTCCAACCTCGGAACGCCCTTCCTGCCAAGAGGCAGTTCTCCCTTTGAGTAGGGCACTTCCTTTGAAATTCAAGAGTGCGTTTCCTTAGGCTGCGCTGGGGGTCAGGATGCTAATCCTTTGGTTGGAGTGACCAGGATTTCAGGTCCTCTCTGTGGAACAGGTGACACAGCGCTGCTCGGTCTCCCCCTGCCCCCTGCCCCCTGCCCCCTGCCCCCTGCCCTCCGCCCTCCGCCCTCCGCCCTCCGCGCGCTTACTGCTGGGGAGGCAGGGGTGTGGGCACTGCAGCCGCTGCAGAGGAGGGGAGAGGCCCTGGGTTTGTGTGCGCTAATGATGTGCTGGGGAACCGGCATGACGTGTAATTAATTCTGGAAACAGGATTTTCCTTACTGCCCTGAGCAGGCACTTGAAATGGACACAGTAGCCCTGTGCGACTTGTAACAATTTGCCATGTAACTGAAAGTTCTATAACCCGGTCTGTAACTTTGTTTCCGCTCCTGTGGGAGCTTTCTTTTCAAAGTATGATAGAAGCATCCTAAACTTTCTCTTCCCCCCCCCACCCCCCTGCACTGATTATTCAAAATGGACTCGAAGCTTTGAAGCTGCTTTTTATGCTGTGTTAAGCAACTGAGACTTTTCCTGTCTAATCAACATAACTTTGTTCTACTTTTGTGAATTGATATTCCCGTAGCCCTTTTGAAAAAGTGTGTTTTTGGTAGAAATGAAGCTGTATGCCCTCCGGGTGTACAACTTAAGTTTTTAGTTTTGAAGCATGTGTAGATTCCCTGTACTTGTATAGGCCTAATTGTTTATGTGGCTTAGCTAAGGTTTTCGAAAGCATCTTCTAGTGGCTGTCACTGGTTTACAAAATAAAATCTGGGCTGTTTAAAATACATTCTTTTTTGGTTGTTAATCTCATTTTTTGGGGGGGGGGCACTTGGAAGTCTTTTGGGGGAAGATTAGAATTCAAGCCTTAAAGGATGTTTGAGTGTTGGATAAAAAATAGTTATTGTTGCAACTGTGACTTATTTTTAGCTGTCAAACTGAACCCTAAGCCATAGCCAACAAAAAGATGGTGGATTTCCTGCAGTTCCTGGGTAACTTCCAATTGACAAAATTGATGTTTGTGCTCTCTTGGAGAACGGCAGTTGTAATAGTCGGAAACATCAGCTGGAGGCTTTATGAGCCTTTGCATGTGACACACCTGTCACTGACTCCAGCTGACTCCTGTATTAACAGGAGGAACTTGGGGTGGGTGTTGAGTTCTTTCTGGTTTCAAGTGGGTCAAAAAGATCTTGAATAATCCAGTTCATTGCTCCAGGCCCAAATTTTGCAGTAAAATGGCCCTAGAAGCCCCTGAATTTTAAAACAGGTATGAGAATGTCAGTGTGTAAAGTAGTATTTTTTTTTTTTTTGGATCACACCCAGTGATCATACCCAGGCCCCAGTAACGTCTCCTTCATCCTAGCCCTGAGATTATATTCAAGGCTCTTTAGGAGAATGAGACCCATCATTGTTACTGGTATTTGGCATATTGGGTACGCCACGGGGAGTTTGCCAGACTCTGCCCTGTGGGCAGGCTACATCGTGCTCAGGGCGCTCCTGATTCTGCTCAGGGATCACTCCTGGTGGGGTTGGGGCGCACACCCACCCGTACTCTGTATTGCTCTGACCCTTCAAGTAGTACTTTTAATGGTTTGATATTAGAAAAGAAAGCATAGCTCTCATCCCCAAGAAGCTTATAGTTTTAATGGAGAACTTCGAAAAAAAATGCTAAACATTTGGGAATACTTGTTTTAACTTTGATGGCAGAGTCCAGCGGCCGTCAAACCTGAGCTTATTTCCTGATTTGGGAGAGGAAACGCACAGCTTTGCGATTCCAGTGGATTCACAGTGAGGGGTAGGACTTTGAGGGTCCATCTCTTGTTCTGCAGTGGCACAAAGGTAGATGCAGTGTAGCACGTTGTATCCATTAGAGTTGAGAAGACACAGTCTGTAGGAAAAGACCACTTCTGAGCCCCATAAGATCAGCCCGAGAGACTTCTTCTTGTTGAGACACTTCTTCCCTTGGAGACCTTCCTGTTGGATTCCCTTGACTTCGACAGGGCTGTGCAGTTCTGTTTCCTGCGCTCTGAATAGCCAGTGGGGTTGACCGGCCCGTAGGCACCCTTGAACCTCAGGAGCAGTGTCTGCCCTGTGGCACCAGTTGGGAAAAAGGGATCAGATGAAGGGCTGTCACCTTGGGTGACCCCAACCTGTTAATGGGCCTTAGAGAGGCCACAGAGGAGAAAGGGCTGGCAGGCTGGCGCACAGGGAGGACTGGGTATTTCAGGCAGGAGGGAAGAGAGCCAGCGAGAGACGAGGGCAGAGAAGTGGGAGAAGCAGAAAGGCGGCTCCGGGGGGGCGGGGTGAGCCAGCAGGTGTTGGCAGGGAAGCCTTCTCCGGGCCTGCCAGTCATTTGATAGCCAGCCAGAGCAGGAGGGAGCAGGGTGCAGAGAGCCCAGGCTCCAGACCCCGCAGCCAGAGTAGAGCAGAAGCAGGGGTTCGAGCTGGTATCGGCTTTTGCTTTCTTAGCTGTGTCACCTTGGTGACTCGTCCAACCTTTGGACCTTCTCAACCGAAACTTGGAGATAAGACAGGTGCCATAGAGCTATTTTGAGGATTGTTAAGTAAGGTGGCTGAGACAGAAAGTAGGATTAGTGCTTCTCGTTTTGATTTCCCTTTCTCTGAGGGCCACGCGCGGCTGTGCTCAGGGCTTACTCCCCGCTCTCTGCTCAGAGGTCACTGACACCCCTTGTGGGGCTCACCCCATAGGGGCTGCTGGGAGTAGGAGCTGGGCCGCTTCATGCAAGGCCAGCACCCTTGCCGCGGTGCTGTCTCCCTGGCCCCCGTTATTTAAAAATGGGCACCAGTCTTCGGAAAGTTTAGAGCGGAAGAGATTCTTGGGTCCCCTTTGGGGGAAGAAGGGTGCATCCTCCTTCCTTAGGGAGACCGTGAAGGAGCGCTGATGGGCACTTCGAATTTGGAGTGTCGGGAATTCTGGAGATGGATGAACCGAGCGAGAGGCATGGGAGCAGCAGAGGCTGCCGGTTGAATGTTGGCCGGCACATACTGAGGACAGCAGATTTTTGGGCAGGTATCCTAAAGGAATACCTTTACTTTTTCAGCTACGTTACGTTTGTAGAGGTCGAAGAATAGGCTCCAACCAAAACTCCATCTAAGCTTTTCAGGTCTAAGCCCTGTTCATGGGAAGCATCCCCCTACCTCATACTACGTAAATCAGTCAAGTGATACATGAAGTCTCTGTGTGAGGCTATAGAATAGCAGAAAGGGAAATATAAAGAGAAATTAATAGGGAAATAGCTCAGAGAGAGAGAGAGAGGGAGAGAGAGAGAGCGTGTTTGTGTGCGTGTGTTGTTTTGAGGCCACGCCCGATGGTGCTCAGGGATCACCCCTGGCAGTGCTGGATCCCGTATCAATTGCCATATCAGTCAATTGCCGGGGATCGAATCTGGGTTACCCGCATGCATGGCTTCTCCACTGCACCGTCTTGCTGGCCCCCGGTTGGTGGTTTTGTTTTTGATTTTTGTTGTGCCCTTGCGTATTACTCCCGGGGGTGCTGGGGATCAAACCCGGAACTCTACACGTGACGTGCCTGCAGTGCATTGGGCCGCCTTCCCTGAGGTTAAGTAGTTTTTCTGCAGCTCGATGGTTTGTATCCTTGTTTCCCCTTGCTTCTCACAGATGAACCCTCGACATCTCATTGAACACATTTGCTCCCTTGACTGCCAAAGGAGTAAAGTTTGCTTTTACGGGTTGGGTAGATTTTGGAATTAATCACTTTTATCCTTGCAAACAAAGCAGCAAGGCCAGTCTGTGCCCTGTCCTCTTTCCCAGCGCATTGTAGATGGTTCTGAACAGGCAGTCCTTCAGGGAGGCTTGTGGACAGAGGACAGACCTTGGGTGATAACCCGATTTGTTCAAGGGCACACACACTTTGTACTTGGTGAGTGGCATGCTTTTAACAGTGACTCTTATGTACTGTTTGGAGTGATAAACCACAAGGTCGCCATATCGACAGGATGGTGAGATCAGGCCTGGGAATGATTCCTTGTTTTCCTGGTGTGCGCACACAAATCCAGGAACCCACCAGGATCCTGAAAGGAAAGAGCTTGAAATTCGGTGACTTTGGACAGCCAGAATATAATACCCCGTGCCCAGACTACCTGTCCTCAAGCTGTGGCTTGCTTGTAGTCCTTCCAAACAAGTGTGGCAGAGGAGGCCTCCTGGTTCATCTGGACACTAGCGTGGTGCTTGCCACATGGCTAGTGGCGAATAATTGGCAATTACCAGGATTGTTAATATCGGTAGTACGATCAATAGCACGTCACGTCAGAGTCGGATGACCCCCACGGTCCCAAATCGAACTTGAGCGCTCCCCGGTGACCCCTTCCAGAGAAAACAGGCCAATGCCCTTTGACGCGATGACATCATTGAAAGTAAAGTGGGTTGCTTTCAAGAGGGTCAACTAATTGAGCAACTCTAAACCCTGTTTTCTTCTTCCTAGGTCTTAGTGGTGCAATGGCTAGTATAAGCGTGCGTTCGAGTACCCCGGGCTCTCCTACCCATGTAAGCAGTGGATCGAATGCTAGTCGAAGGAGAAATGGACTCCATGATGTCGATTTGAACACTTTCATATCAGAAGAAATGGCACTCCACTTGGACAATGGTGGAACTAGAAAGCGTACTTCAGCCCAGTGTGGCGATGTCGTTACAGACTCACCAACCCATAAACGCAACCGAATGATCTAAACCACAGGCATTTTCACACCCACCATGCTGCTTGAAAGCCACGTGATCCTCAACATATACTATGATTGCAAAGGAAACATGAGGCCATCTTCCCCGTTCACTGTTTCAGACACGTGAATTCTCTAGTGGTTGCCAGCCGAGGAAGTTCTAGGTCTTTTCAGTGGCTGCCTCTTGTAAACTCTGGCTTTCCTAAAACTATAATCCTAGCAGAGGACATCAGATACCGTGTACTGTCGTTAGCAAGATCATCATAGGCAAACATATATCCGTTCCAAGGCTAAAAAGTGACCTTAACTGTATTTATTCTCAAAGGGAAAGGAAATAGCAGATGTCTATTTGGTTATAGAACACTTTTTTTTTCTTTCTTTTTTCTCTTTTCTTTTCTTTTCTTTTTTTTTTTGGTCCATTTCCTGCTGTGTTGAGTATTTTGCTTCAGCAGTATTGCTAGGTACCTAAACATGATCTCAAACCCACGATTCGGCTTCCCCATCAACTCTGCAGGCTCCATCCTGGGTCCTAGCGGGGACCGCGTGCAGCTTCCGGTCACTCAACTGTCCCTGTGTCTAGCCAGGTCCCCAAGCGGTTCCTCCTGCTGGCGATTGTGATGTCAAGAGGTGCGATGATGGTCATGCAACTCACGCTATGGAATCAATACACGGAACTCTTCTCGGATTCGCTTTGTGTGTGTTGTGCTCTAAAAGTTAGTAACACCCTGAAGCGGCCCCGAGAATCCCCGCAGGCTTGAAATAACTCCAGTTTTCAGACCCGGGCTACTCCCCTGGCGGAGTACTGACCTGACGGTAAATGTGAGCGCATAGACTGCGAGGTCGTGAACGTCCCAGACGGGCTGCCCTGTGGGTCCAGTGGCAGTGCGAAGGGGGAGGCGGCTGGTGGGAGGGTGGCGGCCCCTGTAGCCTTTCAGATCCTGTTCTCCCAGTATCCCCAGGCGCCCCGCTTTCTGCAGTCTCCACTGGAACGGGAGGGAGAAAGGGTCTTTTTACCTACTGCTGATGCGATACCATACGTAGCAAAACCAACTTCCCCGCCCCTCTCCCGGAAGAGCCTTCTGGGAAAGATGGAGCCGCATGGAGGTTCTCTAGATTTTAGGTAGTCCTAAATAAAAGTTCTCAATAGACTCTTCTTTTGAGTAAAATATAAGACCTCTTGTAGTAGCTACAATGTTTTAGAGCATGTTTCACCTTCATTTTTACTATCTCAGACTCAAGGATAGTCTTTTTTAGATGAACTGATGTCAGCCTGCCAGGTACTGTAATTTATTCTATCATATTATATATCGAGTAGGACAGTGAAAAATGTTTCCTTGCAAACTTGTAGTCCAGTATCAGTTATTTCCTGTTTTTAAAAAACCATTGCAAATCAGCGTAAGGGTTTTTCCAGTAATTACAGCACTTTGTTAAAGTTTGCGATTTCTTCCGCCATTTAATAATCCCTTTCTGTGAAGAAACTTGGCTGAGTTAATCTTAACACTCATTGACAGGGTGGGGGTGTGGACGAAATGTTAGAGACGTGTGAACTGAAGTTCTGTATTCATTATAGATAGAGCCCTTATTTAAAAAGCCAGTTCCATACTAAATCTAGCAATGAAAGATATTTCTAAATTTTCGCAAAAGTGGATCAGTTTTTTTTTTTTTTGGTTTGAATATAATAGCAGGAAAAATTATAGCCGTCTGAAACAGACAAGCCTGTGTATTAATGAATACTTTGCCGCTTCCTTCTGAAATATCCCGGGAATGCATTTGCAGTTAGCCTTGTTTTTCTGTCACTGTAAATTTAAATTTTGGAATTGGGGCTTGGTGGTAGGGAGCGCCGCGCCCAGGTGGCCCCAAACCCCCGTTTGTCCAGGAGTCGAGACCGAGGAACGCATATTTAATCGCCCCTCTACGCCTTGGTTCTGGTCCTTTCTCCAAGTTGAGTAACATTCTTCCTCTGGGTTTTGTTTCGGTTGGTGCTCTGAAGCATTATCTCAGTACCCTCTAACGCGGATTGTCAAATTTGATAAAACACGTGCCATTTTCTTTGGTAAGAGAAAAGCAGGTCTTCATGTCTGCCAGAACGTGATTTATATGCCTTACTGGCTCCATTAAACTTTTCAAAAACTTTAGCATTTGGTCCTTTCTTTGCACTGCATCGAATCCTGAACGCTTTCGGTCACCTAAGCCCGATTTCCTCCCGGTTCTCTCCCGGGGCTGTGTCCCGCTACTGAGCACAGAAGAACGGGACACGGAGTGTGGAAACGAAGACGCTTTCTCCCCAGACAGCTCCATTCCGACCTAGACTTTTGAAACGCGTACCGTTGTGCTGTTCGGTGCAGAAAACAGATGACGGCCAAATGCCCATCTGTGTCGCTCTTGGGGAGGTGGCGGGGGGACTGGCTCCCGGGAGCGGGACTGGCTGTGTCTTGCAACTCGCCCGTGTCCTCCGTGAGAACTCGTCCTCATCGGAAGCCTCAAGCCACTTGGATTTTTCTTCATGCTCGTTCTGCCTGGCAGCCTCTGGCACGAGTGGGTTGGGTCCCTCGCACACCGCAGTGTTCTGAGCATGGCTGAAGCACACAGACTGTGTGTGTGTGTGTGTGTGTGTGTGTGTGTGTGTGTGTTTGTGCGCGTGCGCTCAGGGCTTAGTCCTTGCGGGAGTTTGGGACCACTTGGGGATCTGGGGGTCGAACCCCGGTTGGCCTTGTTTAGAGCGAGTGCCCTGCCCAGTGTCTTCTCTGTCAGCCCCTCCAGACTTCATCCTCATGTTAGTACTTCCCAGAGGAGAATGAGCAGCCCAGAGTGGGTGAAGCCGAGACCTGCAGCCCTGCCCTTCACTGTGGCATCCTAGAACCAACTGAAACCCACCTGGGGCTTCCCCCCTCCGAAGAACACACCCAGTGGAGCTTCTGGGTCGCTGCTGCAGTGCCCGGGTCCAAGGCCCTGGGTCCTGTGGCACACAGCCTCCGTGCCAGGCAAGCACCCGAGCCTTGGTACTGTCTCGCTGGCCCCGAGTAACTTGATTATAGTCTAAGGAAGTTCAGGCTCTTTCAAAAAGAAGCTCGAGGCTTAGAGGTAATACAAAGGGGAGGGTGATTCCCTTGCCCGTGGCTGACTTGGGTTGGGACCCTGGGGTTCCATATCATCCCAGAGCCCGCCAGGAGTAACCCCCCTCAATAGGAACTGGGCTTCTAAATTTCTCTGCATTTCCTAACCGCTAAAGCTTTACGATCTCCGCCTTGACGCTGAGACTTGGGCCTTGGGGGCTGGGCTAGTCACGCTGGTGGTGGGAGGTGGTGGGAGGGGGCAGGAGGGGGGCGGGTGGGTGGGGGAGGGGGAGGCTTCCCCACCTTCTGGAGCAGGGAAAGGTGCGAGGTGGCAGATAACCTGGAAATAGGACCCGGGGCAGACAAGTTCATGATACGTGATGATTCCTCGTTTCCAGAGTGGGTCACCGCCTGCCATTTCATCCTTCAGATTGAAATGTGGGTGTCCAGTTTGAGGTTGGGGATATTTGGAGAGGGATCTCAGACCCCCCTTTTATTGAAACACCGGAAGCAACCTAAGTCCCCTCTTAGTTCAGAGGTGATGGTTCCGAGTCCCTTCTCCCTCCCTCCTTGCTAAGCCTGGACCCCAGGCTAGATCAGATCCTCCCTGAGATGTGTGCTGGTCGGGGAGGAGCAGGCTGACGTGTGTCTCACTGTGATACTCCTGACCTGATGAGATCCAGGCCCTCGGTTCCTGTCCAGTGCTTGGCACTTTCCCTGTAACACAGGAAGGCGGAACGGTACAGCACAATGTTTGTGGCTCCTGAGAAAAGTGTCCCCCCCCCCCCTTGGGTCGCACTCAGCGATGCTCAGGGGTTACTCCTTTCTTTGCACTCAGGAATTACTCCTGGCGGTGCTTGGGGGACCCTATGGGATGCCGGGGGTCGAACCCGGCTCGGGCGCATGCAAGGCAAACTCCCTCTCTGCTGTACATCGCTCCGGCCCAAGTGGGTGGTTTTATTGGTGGTTCTTCCACGTTTCCTTTGGACTTGGTCCCTGAGTCTTCCAGCAAGACAGTGGACTTACAGCCCGGCAGCTTCCCTCGGCTCTCCACAGACGTCACATGAATGGCGGAGGTACCTTGTGATGTGCGTTCTATGGTGTGGGTGGCGCTTCTGGTGCATGGTGGGTCTTGTGGCAACAGATGCTCCGGTGTCTGCAGGTGAAGTCAGTGGCCAGAGGAAATGCACACGTGACTCATGGGTACCGAAGTGCTTCCAGCAAGGGGGCTAGGTCTTCTCCCTCCTTGGAGTCAAGGCAGAGCCCAGCCCTAGCCCCTGCCCATCCTTATGCTGGGCCCACACCAATGCAGATGCCTGAATTCATTTGCTTTTTTTTTTTTTTTTACTTTTTGGGTGACACCTGGTGATGCACAGGGTTACTCCTGGGTCTGCACTCAGGAATTACTCCTGGCGGTGCTCAGAGGACCATATGGGATGATGCTGGGAATTGAACCCGGACTGGCCGCTTGCAAGGCTGGCCTGCCTGCTGTGCTATCGCTCCAGCCCCTCATTTGCTTTCTTGCATCTTCGTCTACAAGAAAACTTTGAAGTCAGGTGTTTTTGGATGCTGGCTCGGCTGCCACGGTAAGTTCCTGGGGCTCATTCCCCTCTCCTGTGCGACCAAGCTGAAGGGAAGGAAGCTTAATCTCTTACAGGGTCCTCTGACATCGGTATGGAGAAACCCAGGAGACGTATGCGTGTGTGGTGTGTGTGTGTGTGTGTGTGTGTGTGTGTGTGTGTGTGTGTGTGTGTGTGTGTAAAATGTGCTGCCAGTGGGTGGGGTTGGGATGGGGCAATATATTAAAAAACGTGGGACTGGAGCAATAGCACAGCGGGTAGGGCGTTGCCTTGCATGCGGCCAACCCGGGTTCAATTCCCAGCATCCTATTTGGTCCCCCGAGCACTGCAAGGAGTAAGCCCTGGGTGCAAAGCCAGGAGTAACCCCTGTGCATTGCTGGGTGTGACCCAAAAACCAAAACCAAACATGTAAAGGCCCTTTTCAAGCACACAAAGGTGTTTCTCTACCTCTCCCAAATTAGACATTTGAAGAATGACTTCAGTTTCTTCCTATCTGTGAGATCCGTGTGTGTTGCAGTTCAGACAATGCTGGTGCAGCCTGGTGGTGCGTCAGGAGTTGGTGCTGGTTAGCAAATGCCCTTCAGTGATGTCAGGCGTGGTGGGAGCTCTCAGGGCCCTGTGTGGGGAGGGCTGAGGGCTGGGCCCTGATCCCGTGATGTCGGGTGCTGGGACCCGAGGTACTGGGACCAGGGTTTATCACTTCGGGAGCTCCTGCATCTCACTGAGCCGAATGCGGCTTTGTTGTAGTGCTTAACCCTCAGGTGGGGGGTCCTGTCCCACCCAGCCCCACTCGGTCCCTCCTGAGGCTGGGACATGGCTTTGTTTTAGGGGTGTGGGGGCGGCATCCTTTGAGCTTTAGAGCTCAGGGGCTCGGCAGGCTGAAGGTTGCCAGCTGACGGGTGGGAAGGGTCTCTTGGTATCCGCCATCATTCAGTGCCTGTGACTGTCAGCCTCGGGAAAGCCAGAGGCGCCATCAACGCAGGTCCCAATAAGCCCTTTCCCCCTGAGCTCCAAGGGGACCCTCCGACTGCCCGGGGACACTCACCTCCATGGCCAACCTGAGAGCCTGATCACTGCACCTCTCCCAAGGCGAGCCCCTGCCCCCGGCGATGCCATGCCCACAAGTGCTAATCTGTGCCGGGGGACTCTGACCCAGAACCCCTTTGCCTGCAGTGAACTGTCCCACCACGGGGGGCGGGGGTGGTATCTCACGGCTCTGACCTCCCTGCCAACTGTTGATGGCACCCGCTGGGTGGGCGACTCCTGCTGCCAGCCGTACGTAGCAAGACCCAGCTGGGTGTGGACCTCTGCGGTGCTTTGGCACATTCCTGACCAAGGAAATCAAGGGGGCTTGTGGAAGTGTGCCGGCCCTTTCTGATACGACCCTTCCTCCTTGGTTGAGAGCAGAGGGACTGGGGCTCTAGAGCGATAGCACAGTGGGGAGGGTGTCGGCCTTGCACGCGGCTGACCAGGATTTGATTAACCCTTGAGCATCTCCGGGTGTGGAAAAAAAACAGAGGGCCCGAGTACAGGGGTAAAGCAGCATTCCTGGGTTCAATCCCGGGCAGCACATAATTCCTGTGGTCCCCCAAAACAGGGATGGGAGCAGATCTTGAGGAGGTCATTCGGGGCAGACGCTTGGAGAGGCTGTATACCCCATACTCCACGAGGTGCCCCATGTGGGGCCTGGGGTCTGCAGTTTTCAGGCTGCTCTGGTTAGGGGGCTCGGGCCGGGGCCTCTAGGGCTTCTGCCTGACTGGACGCCAGGAGAGTGGGCGTGAGTGGTGCATTCCTTGGGGGCAGGGGGCAGGGTGATCTCCGGGCTGGGCAGGAGGAAGTGGCACCCGCAGGCCCCAGGACTATGAATCAGAGTTTGCCCGCAGTGATCCAGCAGCCTGGACCACAGCCTCACAGAACCTGCGCAAGCTCTGAACCCTGGCTGGACACGGAGCTCCAAGCAGCTGTTTTCCTGCTGTGAAAGCATTGTTTATTGTTTTGCTTTTTGGGTCCCGCCCGGGGATACTCGGGGGTTCCTCCTGGCTCTTCCTGAGTAAATTACTCCTGGCAGTGCTTGGGGCACCCGATGGGATGCTGGGAGTTGAACCCAGGTCGGCCGCGTGCAAGGCAAACGCCCTCCCCGCTGGACTCTTGCTCCAGCCCCGGCCGGGAAAACATCGTGAGGATGAAATGAGGGGATGGGAAGGTGCTTCTCCTGGGCTGGACGCTCAGCTCCGACTGGGGTGGCCCTGGGGTGGGAAGGTGCCCCGGGCTGCTTAGGAAAGGGCAGGCAGCGGTGGCCGGACCTTTGCCAGGCTGTAGGCCAGGAACTGCGTGTCCCTGTCCCCCACCAGCTCTTACCCACGCACAGCGATGGGATCCGGGGGTGAGCGGAACTTGGGGAACCCAAGGACCCCCTGAGATCTGTACTGAGGTACTGGGGGTGCCAGAGGCCCACAGCTGTGCCCTACGCCTTGGTCACCGGCCAGTGGGACAGTCCACA